CATGGCAGGGCAATTTGATCTTTTTACCTTTTATGAAGGGTTGGGATATTGTTTATAAATTATCATCCAGCATTAGCTAACTATCTGTTTATCAATAATAAATTGTGTCTTTACCATTTATGGATGATAATATTAACGTTATTATAAAGTTTTACCAAAACTGCAATTAAGACCTTCTTCTCTCAGATTTGATGAAAGCAATGACCCAAAACTTTTGGCAATCGCAGTTTTGTTAAACAAAGTATGGCATGCTGAATTTCTTTAAATAGTCAGTGTTTATTTATTAATATGTACTTGAAAACAAGCAGAATAAATGTTTTTATAGTCAGTTTTGATTCTTTAATTTCCTCTGATCCTTTTGTGTTTGGTACAGTTTAGCCGGAAACATTAAACGCTTGTGTCGACATGCTTATGAGTTTAATTGCTGTGCAACTGAGCTGTTACCCAGGACTAATCCAATGATAGACAGTCCACTGAGGCAAAAGCCGGAGAGCGCTCTGGAAACGGCAAACATGACGTAGGATGTGGAGAAGGCAGAGGTTGTTCCAAGTAAGGTAGAGCCAATTAAAGCTACCAGGAGCATGTACTTCCGGCCGAACCTGTAACACAGAGAAGGCCAAAGAACACACAGGTTGTCATTGCTTCCATCAGATTTTAGGTCCTTTTGGTAAAGGTAAACATTATTACCTTACATTAACTTGGTTACACCTTTGTTATCCTTTAAAACATATGTTTTGTTTATTTCTATTGCACATTTATGACCTTTTTTAACAAAATAGAATGCATGAGAAAATAATGATAAAGCCCTCACACTGTTAATGAGTGGTGGCTTTTTTAATTAATGGTCTCAGCAGAAGTACAATTATGCTGAATTCAGACAAAAGACGAGTCATAGGACAAAACAATCCCCACCCTGGCCCCAGTTCATGCAGGATGGAAAAATATTCAAGTGTCATTCTTGATGTAAAAGCTTTGGACTGGGTTTTTATTGATGACCATCATGCTTTTGGTCTGTACCTACTTCAGGTCTCTGACGATGACCTGTTGTGGTGGAGGACCAGCTCCTGCTTACAGGAAGAGGCTTTCTCTACAAACAGGTCACACCTAAGTCTTCTTATTCCAGATCAAGGGGAACTTGTTTCACTTTTTATCTGCTCTTCTGATGCTTTGGTTATAAACCCTTTAAACGCGACCTATAGCAAGACTTTCTTGCTGACTGCAGATCTTTGAGGCAGTATTCCTGTCCAAATACAATCAGGTTTTATTTTAAATGTCCTGGTAAAATGTTGGCCGCAGATTTTTTTTATTTCCCACCGATTCTTTAAAGTTGCATGAATGTGGCCACAGAGTACATCTTGTTTAACCCGTAGATTTAATGTTTTTCAGACCATATGCCCACTGTGTATGACATTTCACTCATCTGTCATTCAATACAACGTCCCTTTCCAGCACCACGATGTCGACTTAAAAACTTCCCTGCTGCTCAGTTGTCAGCAGCCTTTTGCTCTTCCAGCCTTCCCCATGAATTCTTTGGGTATTTACTAAGATGTTGAGGTTTTATCATCTTATTTTAACTGTTACAGATTTCATGCCTTCCTAACCCAGACATGAGCCCATAAACAACTCCACACATGCAGCACGGTTTGAAGGCAGGACAGCTGACACAGAATCAGAACACACTCACGCTGGGCCTGGTTCTGGTTCTAATAAATGCCTCTTCCTGTTAAAAGGGAGTTTTTCCTCTCCACTTTCTCTGAATGCATGCTTGTTGTGAGCGATTGTTGCAAAGTCAGAGGCACAATATCAAGTACTGTCTACTGCAGTCAGTTGGTTTTCCTTAGACAGAAAAGCTTTAACCGATTTGTCTGAATGATTTGATTCAATTGTGTTTGTAAAGTGACCCGAAATGGCGTGTTAATCTGCACTGCATAAACTGACTGATCTAATTCGACGTAGCCACTTCCTGTGTCCAATACAGCAGCAAATGACGTTAGCTCTAAATGAGACTCCTCTCGTTCTCACTAATAGCTTCAGTAAAGTTTTGCACATCTCTGATGTTGCTGCTATTTTCACATATCCTCTATTGTAAAAATGTCCACAGCTGCATATTATTCTCCTCTCCCTCTTCTCTTCTCTTCTCTTCTCTTCTCTTCTCTTCTCTTCTCTTCTCTTCTCTTCTCTTCTCTTCTCTTCTCTTCTCTTCTCTTCTCTTCTCTTCTCTTCTATTCTATTCTCTTCTCTTCTATTCTATTCTATTCTATTCACTTCTATTCTATTCTATTCTGTTCTATTCTATTCTATTCTATTCTATTCTATTCTATTCTATTCTATTCTATTCTAAAGACTCGCTATATGGGCCGATCAGGCTGTTAAATGCAGGAAAGGAAGGTTTTTTCCATGAGGTTAAAGACACAGTTCCAACAACTGTAACTCAGGACAGAACACAATTTGGAAAAGATAGGCAACTATCATCTATTATATCTGATACATATTAATTCTCAATCTGCATGTTTAGTATTGGGTTCTAGAATTTATAAAGGAATAAAGGAAGGCAGAGCTTTTAGTTATCAGGCTCCTCTCCGGCTGCTATAGGCCTAGGCTGTGCTCTTCATCCTCTGACATGGGAGCTGGCTTGGAGCTCGTCTGCCTGGCTGTGTGTTTCCTGGACGGGGCCGCCTGTGGAGCTGGTTGACAGTTGCATTTTATATCTATGCTTCTTTTTCTATGTCTGCATCTGTCTCCTTGAACCCCAGTGGGCCTCAGCAGATGGCCGCTCACACTGAGTCTGCTTCTGCTGGAGGTTACTTCCTGTTCAAAGGGAGTTTTTCCTCTCCACTGTTGCTACAAGCATGCTAAGTGTGAGGGATTGCTGAAGAGTCAATGAGTCGATGCAATCAGCTGGTTTTCCTTGGATAGAAAAGTTTGAATCAATCTGACTGGATGATCTGGTGAACTCTAAAGTATCTTGAGATGACATGATGTGAATTGGAACTATAAAAATAAACTGAATTGAATTGAATTTCCCAGGAATATGCTACATCTTGGGGACCAACAACTGGAGACTTTCCTTTCTTAGGGTAAGGGTTAGGTGCAGGACTAGGGTATGAATTGACGTTGGGTTACTGGTACTTTCCATGGTTGTCAATGGAAAGTACCAGAGTAGCGTGTCACTGTGTGTGTGATTGAATGATTTGCATTTAGTGGCATTTAGTGACTCTCAAAGCGCAGCATAAATTAGACCTATTTATTCCACGTTAGTTTGAGAGAGTAATAGCAAGAATATTTGACAAACTGTTCTCAGTGTGAATACATACGGCTTCTTTTTCTAAACCTCAACCATATCACAAGAACCTCAGCAGGTTTAAACCAGCAGAATTAATACAATCGCCAGTGTGTCTATGGTCATGCGGATCCAGTGTCGGTAATCCGTGGTCTGGGAAGGTTGGGTAACTGACATTTGGTTCTTAGAACATCACTGTACAGCCAAGTGTGCACTCCTTCACTCACATGCAGTTTTATTAGAAAAGAGGCAGCTGACATAACTCAAACAAAAAACTGCTTCTAAATGCAAAAACACATGACAAAAGCATGGAAGTGCAATTTTATGCTGGGATGCAGTTTTAAGTAAAAAGTTATTATTGACAAAAACACATACTGCTGTTAGATCCCCATTTAAATATATAACTATTCATATTGAATGGCATATTTTTCTAAACCGAGTGCTTTGATTTCTGTTTATTTCATGTTCTGATCAGGTTCCCATTCGTATTTTATGAAGAGACTTTTACTTTTTGCCTCTAGGGAACAAAGTGATTGCTGAGTGTGAGTGTGAGGGATTGCTGAAGAGTCAATGAGTCAATGCAATCTGCTGGTTTACCTTAGATAGAAAACTTTGAACCAATCTGACTGGATGATCTGGTTGAACTGATTCTGTAAAGTGCCTGGAGATGACATGATGTGAACTGGCACTATAGATATTAACTGAATTGAACTGAATTAAAATGTATCCCTCAATAGATTGCAATATGCAAGTCATAGTCCTTAAACAGAGGGGGCGGACTCAGATTTCAGCTTTCAAAAACCTACAATGCAGCGATTAAGTTGATCCCTTCCTGCTATCATCTCCACCCCAACTTCCTTACAGGGGGACAGAGGACCTCGTCTATTCAGCCAGGCCAACAATTCCCTTTGATGACCCCTCTTTCAGAGACATAGACAGGTATGGGGCTTTGCAGGGTAATAAAGAAGCCAAACTACCCCCACTCTAAAGGGGCGGACCCGTTCGTCTGTTTCTATTTGCATGTTTTCTGAACCAAAACAACACTTTGTTTTTGGTCCACTCTAAAAGCTTGGATCTCATTACAAGCTTCCTGTATGGGAGGAAAAATGTCTTCAAACTTGGAAACAAAGTCCAGTGGATTGTTTTTTCACTTTTTTGGAATGTATCCATCTGACTTTTGAACCTGTTCCTACAACTCCACAATGCAGAGGAAGACTTGCAGGAAAAAAGTGACTAAGAACATGAGGGTCAGCTTTAGGTGTTATTAAGATTCAAATTATGCAATACAAATATGTATTAGTTTTCTATGAATGCCTTAATTCTTACAGTCTAGGTGATTGGATTCAGACCTTCATTTTATGTTGCATCTCTAAGGAATGCTGGAAACTCGTAATCAAAATGACAATTAATGTGTGTAATGAGGTGTTTTGGGGGGAATCTTCGGGACTTACTTGTCTGAAAGCTGTCCAAAGACAATGGCTCCGAACATGACCCCAAGAAAGAAGTAGGTGGCAAGTGCTTGATTCAGTTGCTTGTCATTACACACCAGGTCCCACTGTCGATAAAGTAGACATCTTTAAATTGTGTAATCAAACTTTTAAGTTGGTAATCATTAGCAGTTGAAACAGATTCCCACTAAAATGATGAGAGGGGGATTTATTTATTTCTTTAGGGTGTCTGATTTCTGCCCTTTGCATACTCCCTGGCATTTCATCCCCTCCCACTTCCATCACCCCCATGTAATTAAAGCTCCTAAAACAAATCATATTTCTTATTGAAGAATTGAACTCATCATAAAAAAAACACCCAACATGCAGACGAACTCTGCTCCATTTCAATGCAGAGTTTCTCCATCTGTTGTGATTCTGACCCCTTATAGACAAGCCAAGTCTTTTGAATGATGACATTTTATGAACCCAAATGTAACCAAATTAACTGTAAGTGATATCCTTCTGGTTGATATTATTGACTGGAATTATATAATCACATTAAGACTAAACCAGGGGTGTCTTCACTTCACTTCTCTTCACTTCAGGGGTTTGGTTCCTAATAGGACATTTTTCTGCAGGTTTAGGTGTTTCCCTCCTTTAGCACTCAACACTCTACTCTATTGTACCCTTTCCCGCAAAACCTGTTTAAACCCAGAAACAATTGGCTTTTAGTGGCTGTGGGAATGGCTCACTGACACATGTCTACAAAAGTGCTATACGAAATGAGCATAAAGTTAATCTAAGTGTCAGTGTGACCGGGTCAAATGACTCGGCAAGCGACTAGTGTTAAATTCGCCTCGGCTCTGATCAGCATGCTGTGGGAACACCAGAGCTGGGTTGATCTGCTAATTTTATGTGACACCATTGAACACAAAGTACATACGTCAACATACTGCACATGTCACTTCTGATCTAACAAGCAGAAACGACTCTGTTTCCATTCAATAAACATGGAGCAGCTCTGGTGAGTAGGATTCAGACAAATAATAGAGAGAAACAATAAAACACACTGACTATGCCCTGGCTTCCTCTCCATTGTTTACTTCCCTGATTTATGTCGCACTGGTGACATCATTAACACTAACCCAGCGTGATGGTGTCACCAGTGACACGTTAAAGGAATAGTACACCCAAAACATGATTAGCCTTCATTTTCTACTCACCCCCA